CCTTTTTCACATGCTGAGTTGTGGCACGTGCTTCAGTTTCACCCTACTGCACTCTGGAGGACATTTCCAGAGACGCTGTGGGGACAGCCCTCGCTGCCAGTGCATACCTGCCCTCTTCCCCACTGTCCCTTCAAACCATCAGATGCAACGTCCCAGGCCACACAGGGAGCAGGATGAGACGCTCGGCCTGCAATGGTGATGGGCTGAGAATAAAATCAGAGGTATCTAATATCTCACAGCAGTAACTAAGATTTCAGACAGCCACTTGAGCAAACCCGATGCTGAAAAACAAATAAAAAGCATACTCACATGCTGGTAAGCCAGCGAATACTTTGCCTAGCAGCAGCTGGGTGCACTTCGGAGCTAGTCAGAGGCACTGACCAGGCAGCTTCAACACCCTTTTCCTTGCAGGGATAGCAAGAAGTCAGGTTTGGTGTTTTTCCCAGGGAACTGTTGTCTCTTCTGAGCAGGCTAGTGCTTCGGTGGCAGAGGTGGCTGTCCCCAGGCCGCTCGCTCCCTGTCTGCGCAGCAAAGAGCTGGCTCGGGGGAGTAGTCAGCTGGGCAACGCAACCACTTTAGGCACTGGACTGAGACCAATACCACATTTCACACAGGCATCTTTATTTTCACATTTCTGCATGTATGCAAGAGAATGTTCTTTTTCCTAGGATGTGCTGGTAGACATATTATACCCTACAGAATGGACTTTAGCAATTTTTTTTTAATATATATATATGTACACACATATATATAGTCTCGCAAAATTTCTTCAGCATTTCTCCATGTGTCAGAATGGATGTTTACAACAAACCAGAGCTAAAGGGACACTGCAAGGTTTTGTTTTATTTTTCTTATCTCTAAAATAAAATAGCGCTTGCATTTTTCTTCAACTTGATTGCCTGTTCTCCTTGTTACACTTAAGCAAAAATGCTGAAGAGAAAAGACATGCCTATAAGCTTTCATTTCTTACTACTCTGAGATACTATCAGTGATGCAGGTAGAACAATTTTGAACTTTTATTTACACAAGGGCCAGACTATCAGTTAGGTGTATGCCATTGAACCAAATATAATAGCACCCCTGAATCAGTGATGCAAATAAAGAATGCAAATGTTAGACTCACAGCACAGTTCAGCAGTTTAACAGCCTCTATACAGATAGATATGTGTATAAGAGTCCTGCTTTTAAAAGTTTCCCTGTAAATTTTTAACCTGACAGTGTCCCTTAAGAAAAAAGTACATACTGGGCTTAGGAAAAGATGCCCTCCTACAGATATTTTCTTTTTATTATTAAAACCAACATTTTTAAAACCATTCAACAAAATTTAATACAAATTACTGTTGGAGAATAGCATTTGTGAAGCTATGCATTGCTGCTCCATTAAACATGGCTTTAGGTATCACTGGTTTTATTATTTGCACATTTCCTTAGGTCTTTCATGGCACTTCCATGAAGAAGAAAAAAAGGTTGTAACACTGCTGCTACCATCTTATCAGAGGTAACACGGACACAAAGATGTTTGTTCTCAACATGTGTTCACAGTCAGGCAGTGCCAAAGTTCTGCCCGCAATGCTTGAGCCTTAGGATATCCGTACCTCAGGATTATAGCTCGACTCGTGATTACTCACAATGTTGCAATGCATTCAAAGGAACAGGAAAACAAACATCGACAGTAACAGGCACAGGTTGTTTTTTTTTTTTTTTGCATTATCATTAATCACATTCCTATTTTTCAACAGATTATTTGCCTAAAATGCATGTTAGAAAGGCTTTTTTTAGAAAATGCTGGCATGAAGATGCAGACTAATGTTTGTAACTAATGAAAGAGTCAGACTAATGACTCAGATGTTATTTAAACATTCACAACTTTGAGAAAATTTGCACAGCTGATAGCACTGACAGATAGTCTAACTGTAACTTAGAAGCCAGCATAGTAACTACCTTCCACATACTGGCAGTAGGATCTATGATGGTATGGGATTAGAATAGCATACTATGTTTCATTTAGAAAGCTGTAGTAGTATTTGCCATAAATATTGCAAGCCCCATTCGTGAGCGATGGGAGGCTTTGCAAGTTTACAAAGGAACATTCACAGAAAACATAAAAAACAAACCCAAAGACATTTCCATGCAGAGTACGATTCTCTCACAGTCACTGGATCTCTCTCATCTGTTGGCTGGAGCACACATGCTACATACACATATGCTGCTCACGGAAAACCCAGAGGCCGCCTATGCGCTGACGCGTACCAGCCTCTGGCTGCTATCAGCGGGACCAGAGAGAAGCACAGGATAATAAATGGTTTCGCAAAGGCAATGACTGTGCCACAGACAGAATTTACAATCAGAGCTATGTGAAAACACAGCTGTTGTGTGTCACTTTGCCAATCCTCCTATCTCAGCTACAATGGACTTGAAGTGGAGTAGAGAGGTAGCAACCCAGGGCTGAACATCAGGTACGCACAGATGGGGTCTGGACTCCTGCGAGACCAAAATCAAAGCTAGCTATGCCTCAAGAGCAGAATCAGGACCAGCGAGGCTTTCAGCATCTCCCTCTGCCTAACATCCCCCCCGCCCCCCGTCGTTACCAGGAGCTGAAAACTGACACTGTGGAGCAGATAAGGGGACGCCAAAACTGCAGGGTCACTAACGGTAGCCTGATTTCAGCGATGCACTTAAGCACGTACTGGAGAGTAACATCCAAATGTTTAAAGTATGTTGCCAAACTGGGGCCATGCTAAACAGAAAGTGGTTATAGCCCCTCTGACGCAGGCACTGCCCCGCCACGTGTACAGCACTTCTACTAGTGGAGACACAGAAAACATAGCTCAGGCCAAATTCGTCACAGTAACTCCAGAAATTAATTTAGCTTCAGGGACCATGGTATCATGCAACTAATAATGTTTTCTTTTGAAAAGGGTACGTGCGAAACTTTTCAGGCTCTCTGTGCCATCTCACGAGCACACGTGGAGCAACGCCGTTAGAGGAGAAGGGCACTGTGCTAGCCCAAGGCAATGCTTCTTTTCCATTGTCTTAACCATTTTTCCCTCAGCTGAAGTTGACAGCTTAGGCTGATAAAAGACAGATGCTCTTTTGGTGTGGGGAAAAAGGCAGGTTATTCATTATATTAAATTCTGTCATTTGCTAAAGTGATTGCAAGAAGAATCAGTGTAAACATTGTGCCTTATTTCAGCTACAACTGATGTCTTTATCAAGTGCCTATTAAATAAAAACTACATAGACAATACCGGACAACTGGAGGACAAGGCTGCTCTCACAGCATTGAATTACTTCTGTGAATCACAGCACATTATTGGAGTCGCTATGCTCTGTGCCATCACTAGGAAGGAATTAATTAATGGTATTTGTATGAAAGGCAATAAACAGGATAGACTAGGGTGACATTCCTGCATACATGTAACTTCCCTCACCTGAATGGCATTTTTGATGACAAGTGAGCAACTGAAAGGAATAAAGTTAAGACTACAAAGAAGTGTACGGAGGAGCACAGTAAAAGAGGAAAACGTCCCACCTTGGGGGGTTAGCGTAGCATTACACTAGTACTGATCAGACCTACTTCTATAATCAGGAATACTTCAATAGACTGAATTTTTATAAAATATAGGGGTACAGAAATGAGGCATTCTATATATTTTGTATTATAAAAAGCTTCCACTTACATCATTTTTAAAATATATCTTCACTGCTAACAGTATATTTGTAATATAGTATCTGATATAATAAAAATATATGCTTACTGGATGGGAGTGATGTAGTGCTACGGCAGCGGCTCTCCTTTCTGTGTGGTCTGAGCAGCTGGAGAAGTTGGCTGTTCCCTCCTTCCCTTGGTTTCTCAGCCATCGGCTACCTGGAGACTGCAACGGCACTCTGGTGTGTCTTAAGAGTCCTCTGCAAAGAAGGCTCAGTTCCTCAGCTGACAAATAATCTACTGGGCAAAATCCAACCCTGGTGTAAATTCACTACATGATTCTTTCTGTTTTACTAATTAAAAAACCTAAACCCCGAAACCAATGCTCTATTTGGCATCAGTAAGGAAACGGGACTTGTACAAGTCATGCAACTGCCTTGTAGGAAAAAAAGGATTTTGCTATAGAAAATGTTAAATTACCCAAAGGGACATATGGGCCTGGCAGCTAAGTAAGTAGCTCCCAATTAAACTTAAAGTGGTCTTCATGGGTGCCAAGGTCTGTTTGCGGAAACACAGCTGCATCATCTGGGCCCTTTTCTGCACTAAGTAAAACTGGAAAGCTTAAATAAATCCCTAAAGTGGGCAACACTTTACTGTAACTTCCAGTGGAAAAATACAAATGTTCAAACGATGAATCTAGGAAGTGTGTGGCAAACCAAACCGAAAGGACCATAGAGCCTGACCACAGTGCTGCTGAGATGCACACTGGAGAAACAGTTGGTGTCCCACCATGTGCTGGGACTGCAGAATGTGGTTGGGACCAGAGCAGGTATTCATCTTCCTGTACCAGCCCTTATAAGCCTGTCTAGTCTTGCGAGAACTTACCGTCATTAAGCAGAATTTGTTCTGTAGTTTGAAATTTATATGTGCGACACATGTTTTGCTCCCTTCTGGCTCGCCCTGGCATGAAGGTCCTTTAGTTAACGTGTTTGGGAAAAACTCCACCAAACTCAGCATGGTGGCACCAGTGCATGTGAGAGGAAAAGCAGGATCTCTGCAGAAATGGGGATATTGGCTACACAGGCTGTCTGTTTTATGTCCTAGGTATATTTCCTGTTCATTTTTTACAGACTGCCCTGGTAGATTTGACTTTTGTCAAAGCAGATTAACAGCAAGGCATACATAAAACATTTTGCCATATGGTAGTATGGACTGAGCTTTTCACTTGCAATAGATGGCTAAGCTATTGACATGTGCTATCATATGTAAGCAAGCTTGCTAGATTAAAAGCAGGACTTGTGCCTAGCAAACAACGCTGTATATTACTCATTGAACTTCAAGCAGCAGTTCTCTCTTGTCGGGTTTTAATAAAATATTCACATGCTTCCAAAACGAAACAAAGGTCCACCGGTGTCTCCTGGGGAGAAGAGGTGGGATTGGTTGCATTCGGTTGCCATTTGGTTGGAGATGTCATACAAAATCCTCACACACGGAACATGGCTGAATTGTAAAAAGCTTTCACCCAGAAAGGAGGTCTTTGTTACACAGAAAGTCTCCGACTCCTCCAGTGCCCGCCAGACATGGTTACATCACATTCTCAAAGAGCTGTAAGGATCGCATGATATTGTCGTCCTGAAAACAATAAGACATTTTCACAAAATCAGCACCAACGAGGACGACTCGTAACTTTGCATGGCACAGGGGGGCTCTGCAGCTGCTACTGCAGGCAACAGCCTTGCTTTCATAATGCTTTTCATCCTCCATGAGCTAGAATTGATTCAGTGACCAGGTCCTGATTCAGCAAAGCAGTCATCTCTTACTTTGGCACCTTAGTTGGTCTGAGGCATGCAAGCACAGGATCTTCTCAGAAGCTTGACATTCAGCATGGACTGTGTTTTATTGAAGAAAACCAGACACCAGCATTGAGCTGATGACTGTACTGAATCCTCAGACTTCAGTGCACAACTGCATTTCATTGATCCTGAATGTGCAAATAAGCACTTAGCTAATATGCTTCAAAAGTCCCAGTGAAATTGCAGGTTTTGAACTGCTAAGCAAGCTGCCTCAAAGGACTATTTCATCCCAGAAATACTACCAGCTCAAACCCAAAATACATGCAATCTCAGCCTCTCCAAGGTTCCTAGATACAAATGAGAAAGTTTGGGACACACAAGGGAAATCCTGGACTGTATCTCATGAAGTCTCAAAATTGTACTTCAAGGTAAATAACCAGAGTAATATTCAAAACCATAATGATGATTCCTTCTCCCCCTCCAGGAATTCAGTTGTTCCAAAAGTTAGAGTAACTGTTTGCCTGTAACATGAAAATAATTTTCCAAATTTTCCACATTGAGCAACTTAAGAGATCTATTGCATCTCACTCCTCTACCTTATTTTGAGGCTGCATCCATCTATCTCACTTCTAACACAGTCTGGTGGGTACTAGTATAAGGTATCGCCTTGCACAGGAAACCAATCATCCTCTCCAAAGCAACGCTAGGAGTTCACTGCCCATGAGCCATATCCTCAGAAACGGCAGAGGTAAGCACTACAGTGCACTTCCGTTTCTTTTTCATAAAGAAAAAAACATCTTAGTGCCGCAGGGCTCATTCCTATCTGCCAGGAAACCACACATGACAGTGCATCAGACTGTACAGCTCCTAGTGCAAGTATGCCAGCAGAAGGAACCAAACCCAAACTAGGAAGAGCATTAAACAAACAGTTTAAAGTAAAGCTGTTTCAATACTGAGACCACTAACCATGTACCTGCATCTGAAGGCAAATTATGAATATGAAGAATAATACACAACAATACACAAATGATCAAATTAAAGATGAAGCCAAAAATAAGCTAAGCAATCAGGAGGCACCAAGAAGTAACTGAAAAAAATTAGCCTTGTATTATGCATCTGCTAACAAGGATTTTGCCACCTGAAGTCCCTGACTGAGCAGTAATCTGTATGTTGCCAGAGCCAGATTTAACACAGAAACAGCGGGAAGCCAGCCCAGCCCTCCACAGTGAGCATCTGCCCATTGCTCAGGTACAGAAGAGCTGTCTGACTGCAGAACAGGAAAGACTTTTCCAGGGAAAATAAAATACACAGGAGGGCTGGTACGGAATTATTTGCACCAATGTAAACTTTCTAAAAATGCAGAGATGGTTATTGTTCTGATTAAATATTAGAGATATCTCTGAGCAAACATTCACACAATTACAAGCTAAGACAACAGACACCTGGCCAACTGCATGTTAATGCAGATACTTGTCTTTGTACCAGTGCTAAAAATACCAGCAAGTATTTGTTACAGCCAACCTAATGTATGGAATTTGCAAGAGGGAGCTTATTTCCAAAAGAGGGGGAAAAAAAAATAAAAATCATTGCTATGATGACAGCATTTGCTTTTAATCTTTGACTATGAAAACATCAACTGGTTTTATAACTCAGGTTTTATAACTACAAGATTTTTAGAGACTTCAGTTCTGGGCAGTTCCAGCAATGTGGTACCTGCTAATGACATCCAGGGGCAGCACACAGAGACGGTATCAGCCTCTTAAAAACAAGAAACAAAAAAATCCCATCAACAACTAAGGAAGGTTAAGGGCATTATGAGCTTTCTCTGGAGTTATGTGCTCATCTACAGAATCAGGTACTGCAGTTCACTCAGGAAAATAAAAGCACTGGAAATGAAGAAGTCCTCTCCCTTGATTTGCCTGACCCTACTTTCCTATTCAGTCACAGACCACCACCAGAAACTCAATTGTGAAGCTGTTTTTTTTCACAGAGCAAAGGAAACCTGGGATCTTGAGCAGCATCTTGTTTCAAATGGAGTTTGTCCAAAGGGAAAGCAAATGCTGTGGCATGAGCTAAACCTTTCATCACAGTTTTAATTTTGTCCTTACCTCCTGACACGATTCAATAAACTCATCTAAAGTTACAACACCATCTTTGTTTTTATCCATTTTCTGCAAAATAAAATAATAAAAAAAATTTGTTTCCATAGGTAACACTACAGTTATAGTATAATATCTTATTTGATGCAACCTGAATAAATCTAGGACACTTTAAAAGCTTAGATTACAGACTCAGTGTCATTGGATAAATCTGCCAGCTGCTAAGGACTTGTTTACTCTGGTATTTGGAGCACTTTTGGGGTCATTTCCAACTATTCATTCTTTGATATACACAGCAACCTCTGCCCTTACTACATTATTTATTTATTCACTGCCTCACCAACCAGCACCCGTATTCCTGTATCTCTTTGGGAGCAGTTGAGAGAAGCAGCACAGAAGTGCTGCAACACATCCAGAGTCTTCAGGCTTGCTGGATATGGCACATCCCAATGCAAAGGGTTCAGCTAAGAGACAAATGGGATACCTTGGAGTCAGGAAATCAGCTGATGCTGTAGTGTTAGGATTTATTTTGGAATATATAGTGGGGCACAGGACTGAACTTGGGGCTAACCTTACAGTAAAGTGTATTAGTGCATAGCTCAAGTGGTAAGAAAAACACATTAAAAAAATCAAGTACCTGAAAGAATATTTCTACGTGCTGCCTTGGAGCATCTTCCTTGAGCACTGGATACGTGTACTTTCCCATCATATCATAAATTGCCTTTACGATATCCATCATTTCCTGCAGTAGTTGCACACCAGCACAAACACAAAAGTGGAATTAATAGAAATGATAGCGCATTTCTTTCTTTTACTACCCTTTTCTTCACCCTCCTTCTCCCATTACAAAACAGCACAGAGAACTATACATGTGCATGAAGACTGAAGTATTGTCACATACAAGTTCATCTATAAAAACCAAAGAACTTCTTTCTGACTATGCCATGACTGCCACAGCCACATTGGAGGTGCCTGCAGTGCTCACTTCCCTCCTCGGGCCAGGCAGCATTGCAGGACATGTGCTCTGCCATGGCAGCTGCTGGGGATGGTGCTGGGCTGCAAGCAGCGTGCTCGGTCCTGAGCACTGCAGCACCAACCCTGTCCCAGAGCCTCCTCTGGGGCCAGGGGCCTGTGTGGCAGTCACTGGGAACACAGCTCTTCTCCACACCTTGCACAAACTGCCACACAATTCCATGAGTAGCAGTAACCACGAACCCTCAAAGTACACACAATAGTTTTGAAAAGATAGACCAAGATGTATTTGCAAAATATTCAGGTTACCATGCTCAAAACCAAGGCTTCCCACAAAGGCAACAAGCAATATCGGATAAGAAGATAAAACCAGATGATAATGTGGGATTTGGGAGTGGAGCTGGGGGCTTGTAGTGCTTCAGGTGAACGCGCACCATACCTCCCAGTGCAGCCAGAAACCCCTTGCTCCTCAGTCACCAAGTAGCTATTGTCACCATTGCCCTCCCCTTCGCAAAGGTTACGGTGCTCATAGCTGTAACTAGGATTTTGCTTCTGGCTAAACCAATCCATTAAAGGCATTATAATATAGGAAAATATGTCTAGAAAATCCTGCAATATAAAATCACTGTGCACTTTACCCAGACACAGATAAATGCTCAAGTCCGGTCTGATTTGCATTTAATTAGCTGCATGCAAAATTAATTGTGCTCTGCAACAGAAACCAGTCAGCTCTCATCAGAAATCGACCACATTTGTCAAAAACAGCCTCACCTCCTTGTTTATATAGCCATCCTTATTTATGTCGTACAGATTAAACGTCCATCTTAGCTTTTCATGAACAGTTCCCCGCAAGAGAATGGACAATGCCATCACAAAATCCTGGTTTAAGGTAGAGAGAGAAATGTGAATTTTCAGAACATCCTCTTCTAAGTCACCTGCCAGTCAAAAGACTTAGCTTTTTAGGATAGAGCGTATGGTTATCAATCTCTTCTGACTGCTTTTTCCGAAAATATGTCCTCTCTGACCAAAATCAATGGACATAGCATCTGCTAAGATGATCCGAGTACTGTCATGCTAATAAATGTGTATGGGGTAACCACAAAAATCAGAAAAGCCCTCAAGTACTCAACTGCAGCCACCGTAAAGACCGAGCTTATGATATGGGTTAGGCAGCTTAGCAAGACTGGAATGGTAGGAAGACCTAACGGGTGCTGCAGCCTTAAACCCTCCTGAGTCCTGGGGCAAGTGGTGTGAAAATGGCATGGGCTTAATAGCAGATCCAGTCCAAGTCAGGCAGATTTAGATCCTAAAGTCAATAGGACAGTGGCTGCTCTGGCTCCTCGGACTTGCCAGGAACAGCACAGTATGCTCAAGGCCAGAAGCTGGGACACCTTCCTTGCTATCCATCCAAATGTATCATGCTCTAAACTCTAAATACTGCATGAACATAAGTATGGCAAAATGCATGTCTGGTTTGTAAGAGCACCATGAGATGCTCCAGTGGCAATTTCCCTCCTAGAAACAGTCTGTTGCAAGGAGTCGTCACTCAGACTGCCGCCTGGTTAAACACAGCTGGACTCTTAACTGCAGCAGTGGAAGTCGATGCTTTCTTACCCCCAGATCTAGGGCGCTAGTGAAGGAGGAGGTGGAAAAATCCAGTATTTTCTGTGTCTACTTAGAGAGAAGAAATCTCAAACCCCTCTAACAGAGGGAGCCTCAGGTTTTGTTCTCTGGCAAAATCTGTCTGACTTGACCAGATGCGATTCCTACCACTAATTACTCAGTCTGGGACACAGCATTTTAATTGTGTTTTTTGTTTACAGTAAAAAGTTATTGCTTCCAATAACTTTGATTTATTGTTTATACTGCACAGCGGCTCGGGCATCGTAAGTAGCATCACTACAGGGATTTATTAGTACAGGCAGAGCTTCAAGCTAACAGAGCTATACAGCTCCTGATACCTCACTTAATGTACTTAGTCCTTCCTATGTTATCTCCATTAGCTCTGCATGGGGCAGTGCATCACTTCTAAGAAACCTTTGCTCCTTTTTCCCAAGGCTCAGAGGAATGTGAATTTGCTGAACGACAGAAAAAAAGAGGACAAAACACTTATGTTTGACAACCACTAAAGAGACAGGTTTGCCAGGAAGGAAAGCTCAGCGCTTTTTTTTTTTAATAAATACTTATCTAAGCATTTTGCTGTGTCTCAGACTGGTTAGGTTTCTGGAGGTCTCTAACTACTGAGTGGCCACCATATGCAAAACTCCCACTACAAACGCACAAACGCACACATATACATATGGTAACATTCCCATTTTACATTTGGTAAGTGAACTAATTTCTCAGTCTTACCTGCAAATTACTGGAATTCTTAGCCATTTGATGGCAAAAGGAAGACTGCCTATGATTTCTAGTTTTATGATTACAGTAAACGGTCTTCAAAATTACGAAGTTCATCCTCCGCAGGGCTATGACTTAACATAGCCCTTTGCTGCACTACAACTATGTGTGTGAGCTTGAAGAATGGCTATTTGTAGCCACAGCAACAAGCCTTTTAGTTAAAGGGTGGATTTGGTTTCCCTAGGAACGACGTACCTGAGATGCTTGTTCAATACATCAAATAAGCTAAAAAACCTCCATATTCCAAGAACATACAAATATAACCCTGCAATGCGTGATGACTGGAGACGACACACAATGTCACTGGCTTTTCTTCGACATCCAAATTATCTCTGCAAATCACTGGACAGGACCTGTCCAAATCACTGGACGGGACCTGTCCTTGACCTCTCCTCTCTGCTACATAATTCTCTGCACTTTCTCCCTGTGGTACTGAATAATGTGATCTATATGTTTCTTTAGTGAAAAGAAACATGCAACTCCATCTGCATAAACTAAAGTGAACCAGATTTTAAAATATCAACTAATTTTAGACTGAAACCTCTAACCCACAATCCAACAAGTCCTATTAGTTTACAATGAAGTATGGCTGAAGAAGCCTAAAAACACAAAACTGAGAAAAAGGCAACAAAGGAGGATGCAAAACCATTACCTCAAACTTCACTGAGCCATTTTGTGCAGTGTCAAATGCGTTAAAGAGATAATGTGCATACATGCTAGCATCTGAAAAACACAAAGGGCACCGATTGGTACAACAGTTCATTATACACTAAGGGCTCTAAACAACATTCGTGACTTTATTTTCCTTTTGTATAAAACCCAACCTCGTAGCACCGCCAGATACTCTATGAACTACTAAGCATTAACATTGATTTGCATACTCCCCACACCCTCCCTTAACACAGCCTTGAAATGTAAAAGCTTTTATTACCCTAGAAACGATCATGATTATGGGGCTGTATTTGAAAGAATGAGCAAAAAAAACCCCTCCCAAGAGTGTCTCTGGGGCAAATGGATTATCAGCCCTGGTGGGCAATGCAGCAAAAGCACCAAGGAATGATTGCAGCATGTGTGCTTCCTTCCTCTACCTTTTGCTTTATGTGAGATACAGCAGAAATCCCCAGGGACTGGCCAGCTTCAGAAGGGTCCAGTTCCAATAACTTGAGTTTGGCCCATGACTATTAAAGAGCAATCTCATCCAAGACATTTTTTCATCCTTTCGAATCTTAAACTGCTGGTTTTAGAAATTTTATTGAGAAGAACAGTTTCTATGGCCACATGAAGGATGGCTGTTAACTGGGAAAAACAGTAATGGTATGCAGAAAAAAAATCAAATAGGTGTACAACCTTCACTGGCCAGTTCTCTGCTCTGGAAGCAATTCACATTGCTCTCTGTATTCCTAGAGCCCAGCTTTTCAAGATGGAAGAAACTGACATCAAATTCCCTTAATTATTTCATTGCTATTCTAGCAGCTACACACTTTTTTGTCTCTTCTATTCTTTGCCTCTAGCACACAGCATTAGCCAAGCCTGAGTCTTCATACCCAATGTATGAGTATTCAGGTGAAGCCTGGTGCCCTGTGCTATGCAGGCTGTCAGGTGGAATGACCCAGCATCTCTTTATTCTGATCTCTATGAAATGATTAAATATTTTCACATTATTCAAATCCAGAAAAGTGTAACTGTGTGCAGAAAAATCAAATACTTAAGTTACTGTTACTGTCATCCATAAGGATAGAATACATTGGACTGTAGAGGGGGGAAAACATCTACTGCATTTTTAAGAGAAGGATTCTAAAATAAAATAGCTCCAGAAGAAAACCATAGAATTACTTATGGGACAGTCCTGCTAAAAACTAATTAAGCTAAACTAAACAACGAACTAAACATATTAAACTAGAGGTCTCATTTCAGTACGGTATGATGTACATTAAGAAATACTAGATCACTAGTATCATTTGATGACAGATTACCAAAAATGAAAACCTGTCAAGGATAGGAGCCCTACATAACAAAAATATCACAAGCCTGAAATGACAGTGCACAAAGTTTTTGTAATTCAGAGCTACTTTACCACCTCTGGGATGTACAAGTTTATCTGTACAGAAAGCCGTAAAAGTGAAAAAATCTCTGAGGAATCTGAAATCTCATAATTTATGTTGCTAAGGTTACACAAACAGTTTGGAAACCAAGTGAAAGAAAACACTGTAAAATATGAAGTCACATCTGCTGTTAAACTGATTTATTATTAAGCATGGTTGTACTACCATTATAATTAACCAAGAGAGAACCACATTTCAAGGGAATGTGACACAGAAAAAAGAAAAGGCAAGTCTCTCTCAACCTCAGTAGAGAGGAAAAAAGTTATCTACCCATGAATAGACGACGTTTCTGTGCCTGATTGTTTTTCACACAGGGGAATGAAGGAGTCACCCAAAGTGTGTCACTTAAAGGAGTTAGTGCAGTTACTGGGGGTAACTGGAGTTCCTTGGACTTGAAATAGATCCAGAAATACATTAAGATTATAAGCACTTAATTTTTTGCATAATTGTTAAAAAAAAGTAAATCGAATGGTTTCTTTTTATAACAGAAACAAAAGCAGCAACAATAGGAAATCGTCAAGTCCATACTGAAATTTAATGTGAACTTTTTATGGGTGTACGTCTTTGAGGTCACATACATTGTTAAACACAAGCATGACATGTTTTAAAGTAAAGGCACACACACACATTCTTGCAGAAACTTCAGTCATCATCCTACAATGAGTGTACTCTGCAACTACTACAGAGTAGAATATATTTGGAAAGCCTCAAATACTGAATCTTTTACTAAAAAGCCATGTGAACCCCTGACTCACTTCTTTCAGTTTGAGAACAGTATCCCCACAGAATGTGCTCAGTTAGAAGAATATATAGATTCTTGATGTTTTAAAAAGGCAAGAAAATACATTGAGAGGTTTAATACAATACTTTAATATTCCAATACATGACATGATCCTGTCTTAATTAGTCACACAAACACCAAAAATGATCATTTCAGGTAGCTAGGTGTCCACACATCAACTTGGAACTACTTTAACTATTTCAGGGAGGTTTTGATTAATTTTCAGGCCAAAATGAAGTCTGGGACTCTTGCGTGCTAGATCCAACATGCACAGCAGTCCAACAGCAGGGAAGTAAACACACACTGAGGAGAAGTGATTTAGCTTTCTGTCATCCAGAAAGTCAGGACAGGAAAAAAAGCATCAATCCCCAGTTTTTTTATCTTAGTGCACTGTTTAGGGAGAATAAAGGGCTGACAACTAGTGGCAATCTTTAATGTGGGATTGTCTATATTCTTGTGAAATAACTGTTCAAAGGGTGAAACTTAATTTTATTACCTTGCTGCTTGTGTTTCTGTTTAAGATCCTGCAAAGCTTAAGCTCAGCTCACATCTCTCACACAGATTATCTGAAGGAGTTTTGCAGCCAGCTGGCAGTAATGAATGTTAAGGCATGCTACAATAAACCTGACAGACGCAAAGTACTCTGCTTACCTCCATGAGGAAAAAACTGTGCATAGATCTGTTTGAATGTCTCTTCATTAACAACCCCACTAGGACATTCCTGTTGGAAAACCAAAAAAGAAAAAAAAAATCAAGAAAAAAACCCTGCTCTGTAAAGGTTCATTTGCAAAACTCTACAAGCCCAAAGAGAGCAATTAAACAAATCACATTCCTGTTCTCACAGTGCTCTGGATGCACAGGCTGTGCAGCTGAAGAAATTAAAATAATTCAGACTGCAATTTTATCTTAAGTATCTCATAGACTTGGTTCACCATTATTAACATTTCTAACAGTGTTTTCAGCAGTGTTTAATTGCTGTTTTATAGGACAACCTAGAAAGGCAGTTCATGCCTTCTATCATATGAAGCTTTCATCTAATAATTACAAATAATGTTAGTGCCAGCTAACACTTCCCTGTCCGATGCCTCCACATACATGAATTCATTAATCCTCAGCAGAAGACTGCAGCCATATACCTGACACCAGCTCCATGGAGGCTAACAGTACATACTGTACTCGTAAGTCCTTACAAACAAGCATTAGTATTAGGCTGAAAAAGATTAGATCATTTTTAACCTGCTTATCTGCTGAGTCTATCATAAACTTCTAAGGAGCCAGACTGTGCCCATGCCAATTTTCTAACCTGGCAACCTGTGGGACGATTTTATTTTTAAGCTCTAGTACTAGAATGTAAGGCCTGTCATTTCACTTTTGGCTGCTTCGAATAAGGGCAGACACTTAGGAAAAGGGTGGCAGGTTTTCTGCCCTGAAATTCCTGATCTACTAACTAGCCCCATGGGGCAGCATTCAGGAGGGAAAAGGGGATCCCTGCCTGGAGGGCTTACGCTTGCTCTGCTACAGCCGAGCAAAATCCAAGCTGTTATGGCAGTTTGGGGCAGGAGATGCTCCCTGGGTGTGTTCATAGACAGCACCTGTGAAAAGGGATGCATGGCATGTATGAGGAGCTGAGCCCCCAGGTGCTTTACTCTGTAAGTGATAGCTGAACTGAGGTCCTCAGATCTTACCCAGCAGGATGCGGGACCACAAGCAGTGGAAGAGATGGGTGAAAAACAGTACAAGACCTGTCTCCATTTTGTAAATCCTGTTTCCTTACTCTCAACTCTTTTTTTCAACTTAAATTACTTGGACAATTCAAGAAAAATTCAAGAGCAAATTTAGCTTTACTACAGTGCTTTACCACCCCACCCCCCCAGCTCAGTGCTGTTACAACATACATTCACGTATCACAGAAAGCTTTGGGCACTACCATCTACGTAAAGTTTTCAATTATATAAAGTATTTTCAAGTTGATGCCACTCTTTCCACAGATTTGCCTATCAACTAATTTTGAAAACTAACACAGAGCAAAACAATAAAATAACCATGGCACTGATCCTTTTTCACAGAATTACAGATACAGAAAAGTCAGCTTTCTCCCACATTCAGAAATACCAATGGGCAGAGACACCACGGGTCTGTCCCCTGCTGCAGCAATTTAAATTCCACAGCCCCAGCTGAGGCAGTGTGTCATATGGAGGGAAGGGGAGCAAGAGCACTGCCACTCCCAGTAGGACATGCTGAAGATGGATTATCTGAGTAGGTTAACTCAGAGTCTCTCACAAAACTGGTGCGTATATCTTAGTTTGATACTTATGATTAAGCTGAACACCAGATTTGGGATCAAGAAAGTTTGTCAGTTACTGGCAGCATACTCACTCCATGCATTCCTCTTTCTGTTTCACATTATGATTGCCATCTCATTTTAATACAGGTTCTTCATCAAGGAGTTTCACAGATCTGTAACCCTCTGCACAAGGAATTATCAATTTTTGAAACCTAACTCCTACTACCTTGCCCGATAGCCCTGAATTCCCAGAGAGAGAGAGAGAACACAAACACAAACAGTTCATCCTGATGCTTTTTCTACCTGCCACTTGTGATTTTGTACATCTTCCCTTTGTTATCTCTTTTCCAGGTCGAAGCATCCCACCCTCAGAAGCATGGAAGGCATTCGGCATCCTTTAACCATCCTTTCTCTGCATCTTTCTGTTTCCCATACCCTTTTTGAGACAGCACCTCAGGACTGCAAGCCATGTTCAAGACGCCAGTACACCCTTCATTTGTCCTGCAGCATAGAGGTGTTCTCTCCCTTTCCCTAATAAATCCCAATTGGAATTACTGGAGAAATGGGATGGAAACAGTTTTTCAGATATTTTCAATAATGCTAAGGCTAATCCAGTCTACTGACTAAACCTGGCTAATTTTCAGGTAGCATATCATATTTTCCTCCTGGACTTACCTTCTAAAGTAATGGAAATTAATTTAAGAGTTCATTCTTCTGCACTAACACATCTAGAAGGGCCATGCCTCTGTGCAGACTGAGATGTTGTGGTAACACAAGTAAGCTTGGGGATGAACAGAAATTAGTTCCAAAGTACAGAGCTGCACAGCCTTTACATCCAAACACACTGCTGCCACGTTACACTGGAATATGCCTGCTATACCATATGATGCTCTTGGGGTGGAACTCCTCCTAAACTCCCTATAAGTCTGTGCTTGGCATGGACTTCATTAAAGAGCAGGCTTAGGAGTGTGTTTCATGACCCTAGGTAGGTTTGCAAAGCCAGGCAGATGCCAGTACTGCTATAGTTACTCACAACTTGCAGCCTGGAGCTCCCGTAGATGCACACACTCACTGTGTGTTACACCTCACTCTGCAGATTCAAGACAGACACATGCTTATTTGGGTAGCATTACAGGTTGTTGAATTTGAGATGAGTAAACTTAGGAAGTCTAAGAAAATCCCTTTGAATTGGTGACACAAAAAGCTGGAGGAAGATTCAAGTCTATGCCTTATTTATTGATGAGTTCTTTAGATACCTTTTAAGAACAAAAAGGACTTTGACAAGAAATTCTTCCATCATAAAAAGCCCATAAAGGCAAAAAGGCATTTTTTTCAAGCCTCTGATCTGCCAGCATCACCTGCTACTGACATGCATTCACTACCCACGGAAAAAAGGACAGAACGAACAAGAGAAATCACTTCATCCTGTGCAAGTCACAGAAGGAAAGCAAGGCGGAGTACTTCAGGTGACATCAGAGGCAGTTCCTTAATCACATAGCTGTTCGCTATTGAAATTAGGGTGATTAGATCTGAGTTCCTTCCTCCAATTCAGAAGAAATCCTGCTGTCTTCTACTCACTATTTGGGTAGAAAACCATCAGTGATTTGGGAGAGATTTGAGCTAAATAAAGGATAATTTGTTGCTTGAAAAGCCCTGAAATTATCTTTTACTTTATGTCTTTATGTCCTAACAACTGTCCTCCCACTGGTTACGTTTAAGTGTCCCAAATAAAACCCAAACCTGGTACTGTGGTCTTGACCTCAGCGGGGCCACCCCTTCTCCAGCATCAGTGTTCAAACGCTTGTTCGAGAGCAAGGGGATGAAAAGACCAACTGGGCTATCTAAAAACAGTGGCTGCAGGACCAGACCTTAGTTTTTCATTTACAGACAAAACTAACAAAGCTTTCTAATTCTATGTGGCAAAATTCCTGGTTAGATGAGTAGCCTCAAAACATTCCAAAGCTCCTAATAAAACAGCCATTGCCTAGTTTCTTTGTCATGAGAAAAATGTTTACTTTTTTCATCTATTTGTGCCACTTCTAATAAGCTAGAAATCATTAAAAGAAGAATAATTAATAGAAGGTAATAGCCACCATAAAAGCATTCTCCTAAACCTTGTAATTTAACATACATTAAATAAATAATCTGATATTTATTTATGGTATCTTTTAAATCATAGATCAGACTAAGCATCTGTGTTGGGTTTGCGTGGCAAGGTTT